AAAAGCTAGAAAACCATTTTCCCACTTAAGTGGTGAGAAAATGGATTCAATGAAAACATGAAAAAGAGGGTCACGTGAGGGGTGGGGGAAAAATCAATTGCCAAGAAAAATTTGCTTATCAAACAATCAAAAAGTTGGAACTTGGAAAATATGTAACATCAAACACCTTAGAGAAAATTTTGGAAACAAATCATAATAAAGAATAATTTATGTTAATTTGAGAATAAAAATATGATGAAAATAGTTTGAGATATAAACATAATAATATATAAAAATCATAAAATTTTTATACAATAGCATAATAATTATTAGGATTTTTCCTCTTTGCTAGGCTTCCCCTCACGAACTTTTTACAGGCTATCTCACATGAGGTGGATCCCCACCTCATTAAAAAAATTCCCAAAAAATGCTAAAACACCCATCCACCCCCATCACGCATTTCTGTGGCACAGCAGCTCGTCCCTAATTATTAAAACGATGTTATAAATGTTGGTTCCACCTGCTGGATTCTTCCTCCCTCTCCAAATGTATTCTTTCAGCTGAACTTACCGGGAAAACGCATAAATCCTCTTAATGTGCAGAAAACCCACTTCATATTCAGCCCTCGAGAAGCCGAGTTAGATATTGAAAAGTCAGTAGAACCCGTAAAGGAAAACTCACTATGTCCCTCCGCTTTACTTCCACCCCTATCGCCACTACCTCCGCCGTATCTTCCGTCTTCACCACGGTCAGCCACCACTTCTTCTCCACCATCGCCTGCCGAACCACCAATTTGTCAAAACTCCCCAAACCCTTCTCAAGAATCCCCTGGAAGCACAGGCTCCAAATCATACAAGAAGCCCAGAAGCAACTGGCGGACTACCTCCACGCCACCCGCTCCATACCCTTCCCTTATGCTGACCACATTGCCAACAATTGCCCTCATTCCCTCTCCAGTGTCGTCGCCAAGGTTCCTTTCTCCCCCTCCACTTTCCCCAAGTCCTTCCAGCGCTTTCTCAGGTACCACCCCATTAACGAAGTCGACTTTTTCTTCGAAAGCATTGGCTTAAATTCTACTAAGAAAAACGAAGTTCCTAGATCCCCTTTACCCGTTGATACCTTATTTTTGTCTGATTGGCGGCAATTCAATGCTGCTTGTGCTCTTGCGGGGTTTGGTTTCCCCTGGGTTAAGTTGGGCTTGCTGTATAAGGAGGATTGCTTGATTTTTGACATTGAGCCTCTGGGGTTGAATAGAAGGCTAAGTGGGATGAAGGATAAGTATGGTTTTAGTAGTGTTGATGTCATTGGGATATGCTTGGCTTTTCCTCGTGTTTTATATGGTGAGATGTGTGGGTTGCTTGACGATTTGAAAATCATTTTTGTTGATTATGGCTTGGTAAATTGTGTGGATGGCCATGTTGATGCCGTGTTTGAGGTTTGCAGGAAAATTCGGGTCTTTTATGACTTGGGTTGTGAGATGGGGAAGGTTGGTGAGTTGATGGGAATAAATAAAAGCATTTTTGTTGAGTATCCAGAAGAGGCTTTGGTTGCAAAGATTGAGTATTTTTGCAGATTGGACGTTAGGAAGGATGAAATTGGTTTGTTGCTTCTTTCAAGACCAGAAATTTTTAGTTTTGATTTGGAGGAACGGGTGATTTCAGTTTCGGGATTTCTGAAACATTTCAGATTGAAAGCAACAGAACTGGAATCTCTTGAAAAGAAATACCCTCATGTTTTTGGTAGGAACAAAATAGCTAATCTGCCTCATGTCATGAGGTCCATGGATCTCGGACAGTGGTTCTTTGAGAGGATGAGGAGTGGAGATCACTCTTTGTTGGGTACTTATTCTATTGGAAGTCCAGATGAGGACTTGGATAAGGACTACTCAGACAACTTAACGAAAATTCAGGCTAAAAGAACACACTTTCATACTTTTGGAAAGTTGAGTTTCTTACATGGCATAGGGTTTGGAGAGAATAAGTTTACAGTAAAAGCCTTAGCTAAACTGAACAGCAGTAGCAGCCAACTACAACAACGTTTTGATTTCCTGCTACACTGGGGAATTGAATTCTCAAAACTCTGTGGAATGTTAAGGTTGTCAGCAAAGATTCTGAACCAGCAAGAACGGTTTCTTGAAGAAAAACTTGACTTCCTTTGCCATGATATAGGATCCTCTCTGCAGTACCTTGATGTTTTTCCAGGATATTTATGTTATGATTTAGAGAGACGAATTAAACCAAGATACAATTTGCATAAGTGGCTTGTGGAGCAGGGTTTGTGTAAGAAAGAATACTCCATCTCTAGCATAGTAGCAACTAGTGAGAAACAATTTGTTGCTCGCCTTTCTCGCATCCATCCAGCTGCCTCGAAGATGTGGTTAGAGAGTTCCCTAAACAAAGATGCAGGTGCAAGTTGTGAGGAGCAGTCAGTGTCTTGAACTAATTATTGCTAGACTGCCGATTGATGACTCTGTGCACGAAGTTGACCGACTTGTAGATGCTTCTTGGTGCATGACTCACCACTGAAACCTTGGTACCTCAAGGTGACTGTCTTGGTGTATAGTTGGAATATTGATTGGATGGTAACCTTCGATTTGTGTACATATGTAACGGAACAGCAGGGAAGATGTCTTTCTTTGGTTTGGCACGTGAATTTGGTCAACCATATTGAGTTAGGATTTATACCAGGATTGGCTGCAGTCTCATTTACTGGTTCTTTAGTCATACGATCTTAATCCTTCTTTCTAGATGGGGGTCTAGCTTATTGAGCACATTTCTTTGCAGATTTGAATATAATGTGAGAATGAATCACAAGAAAGTAAGCTTTATGTGTGTACTTTTGCAATTTCCTCCTCCTATATGTTGAAGCAAGCTTCACACATCTCTTATTACGACTGCTTATGATGCTGACTATGTTGAATGCCTGTGAAATACATGATATTACATCGTTTCCTTCGTTCAATGTATAAAGTTCTCCCTATATTTTTTTGTAGACTTGGTTCAGGTGGAATTTGAAATAATGTTAAGTGCATGTTCTCCTCCTCCTCACTGTTAGATGCACATTTAGGGCTATCTAATTGTTTATTGTCAATTTATAATCAGCATAAGCTATCCCTATTTTCAACATATGAATCCATATAGGACCTGAAAATATAAAGGGCTGTTATATGGGTTTAGAGCAATGGTAGGAAATAATCTTTCACTCTATCTTCCACTTAGTTTAATTGACAAAACTGGAAAGTGGGACTATCTTCTAACTTGAGCTAGTCATTTATTAGATGTTTTAGCTTATTACAGTAAGAAGAAATTAGATGCGCATATTACTTTTATCAGTCTAGAGAAAAATCTAGTTTGACTTTTTTATTGACCAATCAGTGAATGGATCAACCAATCAACCCCATGTGAACTTCAATTTATTCTGCTTCAATATCAAACATTTCAATGCAGTGATCCCTGGAGTTCATTATTTTGATTTATTTCTGGTATCTATTATATATGACATGGAATATAATTCAAAATGAGTTTGTATTCTCATTGTGACAAAAAGTAGTTCCACATTTTTACCACTTCTTTTTCATCTTGATTTGATTCAGACAACTTTTCACGCTGGTAAACTACAAAAATTGTTGTAGCCTACTCCATATTGATTTGAACGGTAAATAATTTTTCTCTCCATGTATGAGAATGCACTCCGGTGCCTCAGTGTGTTTGGTGGGCAGAGATTGGGTGGGTTGGGGGTGCTTTGCTTGTGGTTTTGGGATGTATTATTGTTCTATATCGAGCAGAGTTCCACTGCATTTACTTAAAGGTTCTAACTTGAATTTCTACAAGTGTTGCAGCTGATCAGGAATTATTGACACTTAATTTAATGAAAGATTAATAAAGGAATACGTCTTGTTACTGATGGTTTGCTATTGAGAGATCTTTCATGTTTTTCCCTTTTAAATTTGATCTATTTTCAGCTTTCTTACAACTGTCTCACGAATAATTTCTTCTTCTAGTTGAGTAGCGTCTTTCCCTTCTTTCTAATCATGTGGTTTTATTTTGTAGAAATTCATTTTGAGAGATGATTTAGAGTGATACAGGGATTATATTTTGTTGGAAATGACTTTTTTTAATATGTATTTTGTCTCCATAGTCTTAAGATTGATTTCCTTAATTGAGCACTTTAAACCCTGAAATCAAAGATGAAAATTATTTCTTATTTGCTTAATATCCCAACTCGGCAAGTCCAGATTTATCAAATACATCTGTGCTGCTGTGTTTCCACCATAAAAAAGCTGAAAAAGCAACAAAAACTCTCATAGTTTCACAAGGATATACTATTTACTTCTACACTCTCAATTGTGTCAGAATGCATTATCTACTCTAGACATCTGCTTGTTCATGTATACATATTCAAACTAATTGCTTTATATGCACCAGTAACAGCCATTTCTAAATTTCTTACATTTGCCTTTTGAAGGTGACCTTGATGCATTAAGTTGAAGTCTTTGAGTCCTATGCATCCAGAGGATGCAGACACAGAAAATTGACTTTTTTAGAGTTTCCTTAATTGAAACTGCACATCTATATCATGTCCTATAATTCTGGCATGGTACTTTCTCTTGGCTACACATCAAAGAGTTATGACACTTCTCTTTCTCTACGGAAAAAATTATCAGTAAGTGTTAATTGTAGCTAGTAAACTCTCTAGTTCGATTTTCTGGTCAAATACATATATTGTTATTTTTGCTGTAATTAACTTAGTTTAAAATCTAGTTTATAAGAAAATTTTGATGTTTAACTATTGTTGATTTGGAATAGTTTAAATTTCCTTGTGCCCTTTGTTCATACTAGTATTCTTTTTTACCTTTACATTGTTTGAAAATTTCCAGCTCTAACTCTAGTGAACTCGTAAAACCTTTTCATGTATGTTTTAAAACAAATGAAAAATGGTGCTAGATTTTTCACTAAAATACCTGTAGTTGTTGACGGTGAAGAATAGATGCTGGAAATCAACAAAAACTGTCATATGTCATGACATGCTGAATTTTCTCCTCAGTTTTGGTATCATATTTTACTATTGGATACACTCGTGCAGGCTTGTGTTGTCAGGTTTATGCTTTCTTCCTCTCTTTATTTTGTGAGTATGACATGTCCCTTGTTCCTCGTTAGAATTAAACTCACTTGTGCTACTACCAGTGATTTTTTGACCATTTGGTTATTACACTGTGGGCTTGCATGTTCACACACTCAGTTTCTCATCGTTTTTCTCCCTTATTTCCTCAACACATAATGAAATGTTTCTGCTTGCTAGCATTTTTGCAACTTTGGTATCTTATTAAATCCCACTTCCCCCCTTTCCAGTGCATGCAATGTTTATGTTTTCTACATCTCACCTTTTCCTAAAAGGAAAAACCTGGAAAGAAGCAAAAATTTGTAATTTTGTTGGTTATTATTCCTTAAAAGAGTATAAAGGGTACTCATTTTACCATCCTTGGGATTGGAGGTTATTTCTTCTCATTATTTGTTACTACATTTTTAAGTTTCTTAGTAGGAAGAGCAGTTATTATTATTGTAGAAATTTAGGGGCCTAATTCATCTCACAAAACCGGTTC